CCGAAGTGAAAGGACTTATCTTTTTGATGGTAAGGATTTACATGTTTTTTAATTAAATAACTTAGATATCGTGTTTGAAGAATAATTATTTCATTGCAAAAATTATCTATGATATTTATATTTCTATTATTATAACTAAGCTGTTACTTATTTCATGAATTTTCCCTGGAAAATAATTAATACATTAAGTACCTACATGTATGTAGAACGATACTAAAATATTAACTTCAAAAAAGAGCAATGTACAAATGTTTCACGCACGGCATAATTTGATTTAATTTTAAAGAGGACAAATGATTAATGGATGTATAATAATTAATCCAAGTCTTTCACAGAACAAGAATACATAAAAAATTATTTCTACAGTAACACGTATTTAAACTACATGTAGGTTTGAGAATTATGAACAGTACTGCAAATATTCAGTTAATTAAATATCTTTAGAGATAATTAAATTGATGGTGTGGTTTTAAATTTTAGAAAAGACCAACTTTTTAAAATAGTCTACTATTAGAGAAGGAAAATTCCTTCCTTCACCGCACCTAAACATATGTTTAAAAATATGTTTTTTGCCATTCAGTATAATTAAGACCCCCCCCCCCCCCTCCGTGCCTTTTCTCCCGAAATAAAATTCTTATTAAGTTTTACAGTATATTTTAATTTATATTTAATTTTTATTGTAGCACAAGAAAATCAGTCTTAAAACCAACATCAAACAGTGATTAAACAAAAGTATTTTAGTATAAACTTGTGCCGCCAGAAATATTTTAAATTGGCAGGGAATATGTTTCACACTCAATTTAAAACCTAATCCTTCCAAGTATATATTCGAATTATTTTTTTTTTCTGCAGGAATGCAAAAATCAGATCTAGAAATGATAGGGAAAAATATTAATATTTCTTGGAATACTAAGTGACTCTTTGCCCTCGGCATGTTCGGTGAAACGCGATTTCCACACCTCCACTGTGTCGAATCATTTTGATTGACAGCACAAGCACGCTACTACAAATGTAGCACGGACTTCCTGTGAACTGTGTGAACTTGATGATGGAAAATAAAAGCCAATGATTACTTTCAAATGGATTTGTTAATCTAAAAAAAAGATTACCTTTATTGCTTGGAATATTTAGGAAAAATAATAAGAATTTTTATTTGATACAATATATATCTGAGAATCGAGAGGGTTATCTCTCTCTCTCTCTCTCTCTCTCTCTCTCTCTCGTACATTTCTCTGTTCAATAAAAATTATGACAACACATTACTTATTTAGTTTTGAAAATTTTATCTACGCATGTATTACAAATAATTTGAATGCCTCTTTCCAACATCTTGACCGAGAATAATCACGGCCGGGAAATGTCTACAGATGCATGAAGAAGTTAGCTAAAAATAATCGTCATAAAAGAATAAAAAGGCATATAAATATAGAATATTTTGCAGTAGAATCTAAATAAAACGAGAATTTTTATGCAGTACGATAACAGTCAATGTCAACAGATAATTGTGAATCCGTTATTTTACTCAGAATCGCTTTGACACGGAAACAAATGTACGGTAGTTTCAACCACGTACAATGTAATTAATTCATTCTATAAGTAGTAGTTTTATCTTCAGAAGTCCACATTATTTAATTAGTGAAAAGAATAAGCATAATTATTTACTATATTAGTAGATTAATTTATTTTTTAACTACACGCGGTAACAAATACACGTTTTACGGCAAATAAAACCATGTTATAAAAATATCGATTTAAACATACGTATGTGCAGAATTTTATTTTTATTATTTATTTATTTATCTATTTATTTCTCTTTTGTTTATCTATTGTTTATGTATATTTATTTATGACATTTGAATTATAGAATGAAAGAATTATTTTAATGCAAGGAAAAGACCAAAGGCATTCCGAATAAATCGTTCATCTTGCGTTCACCGTTCGTTCACCGTTCACTTTGCGCTCGCGTTCGCGCTCCGTTTGCGTTCTGCGTTCACTCACCGTTCACCGTTCACACATCGTTCACCAAGTTGCGTTCACCTATCACACATCGTTCACCCACCGTTCGCTCTGCGTTCGTTCACCGTTCGTTCAGCGTTCGTTCACCGTTCAGGTGGGAAAGTAGAACGTTTCAGGGACTGTAGGATGTGCACAATGGCAATATGTAATAAAGATTCTGAGAAAGTTTCATTAAATTTCCTTCAGTGGTATGAGAAGAGTTGCGGATAAGAGATGGGTACCCCAAAGTGTAAAAGACGGACGGACGGACGTACAGACGGACGGACGGACGGAAATACCGATTACTATATACCCTCTCTCTTTTCAAGCCGGGGATATAATAAACAAATTGAAGTAAATACATCGTTTTAAAATTCAGAAGCAGATTTTCTAAGTCAATATCTTTTCTTGTTTGGTAGCAGTGATTCTCTGCATATAAATAATTTTGCGTGGTTATGTTTTCGTTTGACGTCACAGTTGATTCCCGCACTCAGAAACTGTAAACGTGAAGCGTTTTTATCATGCTTACGTCTTATTTAACGATGTCCTGTGCGATATTGAGGTTAGCTTCACCCTGCGATATTAATGCAGTAAATAATTATGATGAAAGGCTTCCATTCAATCATAAACTAAGCAATATTTATTGACAGAATTTTGTCCAAAATGAGTTTATTGTGGTTGAAGCTGACTTGAAAAGTGCGGAAATTATCCCACCCTAATACAATGTGAAATTAAAACAAATGCTATCAGATAATTTAAATATTATCAATATTCTGAAATATTTGAGTATATAGCATTATCTAACATTATTATTATTGTGCGTAAAAATTCGCATTATGGACCCCGTAATTGACCCGTAAACATAAAGAATCAAAACTTCATACAGACACTATACAGGGTGATATTTGTAAAAGAAATCTCAAAACAGGTCCCTTTTAAAATGTTAAGGACATAATAAATTATTAATATAAAATTACGAAAAAAATTCATTGACGGGAATTTTTAAAGCTCCAGGCCCTTTTCCTCCTTAAATAAACAAACGCATTTAACAATTCAGTTTATGAAAAAACGTTTCTTTAATTTTGGATTTTTTTTTAAATCTAAACCAAAAATTAGCATAAATGAGAAAATAGTAGATCTTTGCAAATGTACATGTGCATACATGTAAATACAGTAAAGGTTGCTTTAAGCAGAAATAAATTTTTGTCCCATTGAATTTTCTTTTTTTTGTTTCTTATGTAAAATTTACTTTGCGTTGTTTTCTAATGAGAGATGTATGCTCAAAAGAATGGATTGTTTTCAACTGATATACTTTTTGCCCCCTTGAATTTTGTTATTGTTTCTATTGAATTAAATAATTTGTGTTACCTATTTTCTTCTGACAGATACATGCCGAGAAATTATTATTAGATATAATGAAAGTACTGAAAGCACTCATGGGAGTTGAACATGGTGTAAAATAAAATCTTTGATCGGGAGGTTATGCGAGTGAACAATATTATTATTTCAAATACAGACAACTGTTTAAGATTTTTTGAGTTGCATCAATCTTGAGAAAGACATTCAGAGACATTGAATAGCAAAAAAATGCATTGGCCATAATGCTTGCCTGCCTACTTTAGTCTTCTTTTATATCCCCCTGCTTGAAAAGCAGGAGGGTATTTATCAATCAATTTTTCCGTCCATCTGTTTGTTAGGCTTTAGGTATACCCATCTCTTATCCGCAACTCCTTTTACACCACTGAACGAAATTTTCATTGAATCTTTATTACATATTGCCGTTGTGCACCTGCTATTACTTTTTCATCCTACACATATTTTGGGTTTCCCATTGCAAAACATGGGCACTGCCATTAAATTCATATTAGAATATTAGAGGCGGTTGATCATTTATATAATTCACTGCTAACAGTATTCAAATTTGTAATATATTTTTCCTTGGCACCTTTATCAATGTGTTATGAAAATTGTGAATATAAATATGTATTTCAATTACACGAACATTATACATGGAGTACGTCAGAACTTAATCTCTTTTAATATTGTGAAGAAAAAAGCAATACTAAGTTAAAAACAAATATTTAATGACCCAACATAAAAAACAGTGGTATATGTGAGAGTTTGTGTGCGTAAAAATTATCAGGTATGTAAATGAATTTTTCCTTTTATTAAAAAAATATACTTCATTTTGCTGCCTTTTCATCGGTGTCCGTTTTTGGTTTAACATTTATAACAGAGGACTAGAATTACCACTTTTTGGCAGGTGATACTGCTGATCTAGTAATGAATACGCATATTTCCTAAAAGTATTTTTGCATGCATGAATTCATTTAAACCAAGAAAATGTGCATGAAAAATTTGAATAAATTCTGTGCACCGGTAGAAAAAAAAACTCTAAAAATCTGGGACCGTCGGGCGTCTTGAAGACTAGATTTACCGCTTGCCGCCAGTATGTAGTGTTGTCATTAGTATCTCTTTCAGTGTCTGAGACTATGTATGACGCTACACTAAATATGAGTTCCGTTACGAAAAACGTTTGAGGTTCTTAATAATTTAGTTTTACTTTGAACGAAATCTAATTTTCAAAATAAGATTACTTTATCATAACATTTACTTACATTTCAAATTATGAAAATTAGATCAATTCAGGAGAAAATGACATGAACTATTTGTGGCGGAGGTTTATGCATGTTTTCTGTTGAATATCTTCGGAGTAAATTGGTCAACACAATAACCTCGCTTTCGGCTCTATATAATCAACATAAATTACTGCGTATGTTAAATGCGTGATGACCATGGAAGATTGAACATAGTTCGACTCCCAAAAATGGTTCTAAAATGTTTCATATAAGCTCTTACCATTATGAATGACCGGTCTTACCGTACAAGGACAAATAAACGTTTACAGTCGAGAGATGATCCACAACCAAAATAAAAATTGTCTCATTAAATTTTACATACTGTTAGAAAGCAAAATAACCCTCTGCGTATAGTGCTTTACTCACCTTAGAAAGATCATCCCAGATTATGTTAAAGACACTATCACTCATTACTGGGCTACTTCCTGGATCATGGCTGTATTTATTTCTATATAAACGGATTCTTTCTATGTCGTCACTCTCTGTGATATCCATTATTCTAGGTTCTTTTCCCCATCCATTCCCAGGTGAAGCAATGTCAGAGTAATTCCTCAACAGTTTATACATGATGGAAACGTCCATAGATAAAGATGATACACAAGTGTTGGATCCACCTTCAAAAAATTGCTTAAACATACTTACAAATGTATGTCTGAGATGGATAAAGTAGAAATAAAGGTTTAACTCTTCACTCATACCAGTATATTGAAATTATCCATACTTTATATGTACAACCTAACTTGCCCTGGGAGTATATCGGGTTTTGAATTTCATTGACAATCACTAGCAAAATAATTAAATTTTTTAGCTCATCAAATACGCTAATACAATAATTTTTCTGGGCTCTTAATCTTTCAATTTCATAAACATAGGTCAAAATAGCTTTAAAATTGTTTGAAAATAAAGATTTTAGTATATTTTTTTATCTATATAGTACATTAATTTTAAATGTCTTTTTGTTACATTGATGGTTTCACTTTCAGCACAAAAACTGAAAAAAGGGTTGTATTCTTTTCTTTGTTGGTTACACTATTTTATTGAAAGAAAAAACATTGACTCCATGCAAAACATTACTTATAATGTATCTATTTAAACACCTCAATAAAACAAAGTACTGAAAGTACTCATCGGAGTTGAATATTGTTTTCTGAAAGATATCACATGAAGTATAGGAAAATGTTCATGCTTTCAGATTTAAGTCAGCTAGAACTGATTTGTTAGAGATAAAAAAAACACAAAACCTTAAAAATAATTTCTATTGCTTTAGAATAGCCAAGATCATGGGACTGCTCTTAAATTTGCTGCAGAACTGTAGCTCTCCGAAAAAAAAAAAATTGACATACCGGAGAGCTACAGTGCCACCCATTGAAAAAACTGTATATTTATTGCGCACGAACAGTTAAGTTTAGTTCTGGATTTATTCTTCTAATTCTTACCTCAACAATTTGACCAAACCAAACAAACAACCCCCACCACCAAAAAATAATTTTTCCAAACTCGAAAATAATATTTTGTGGGTAGGTTTCAAACTTCTTTCAGTACAATTTATTATTCAAACTCAAACACTACCCTTATATTTTTGAGGCATTTGAATCAAAACGCCCCCTACTCTCTTGAGAATGTGTACAAGATATTTGGTCCCAAGAAACAAACAAGTAAACACTCTTTATATTCGATGTTACCATCACCAGACACTAGATTGTCGTTTTTCTTCCTCTGATTAAAACAAGTATTTGCTATTCTCTTTTTGGTATAAATGTTTCTTTTCGGACACAATAATTAATTTCTATAGAACACGGTGCTTATCTTTTTTATCAAATGTATATATCTTTATAAATTATTCATCAAGTTTTGTTATTCCATAATTTTAAATTTCGTTTCAAGTAATTTCTATATAGAAGTAAGTATCTGAATACTTTACATTTTGTTTGTTTTACGTACGATAATTTTTTCAATCATATTGAGACACTACCACTTGTCGATGGAGCTACCTACATGTAAGTCTACAAATTTTTTACCTATACACGGCACTCAAAACCATTGAGTAGTGAGGGATCATTTTGTGCAAGCACAAACTGCGACATGGGATTCGGTTTATATGGTCTCATCAAAAGAGTTTATCTCCAAATGCATCCCACAGGATTCGAACCTGCGATGTAAGGATCAATAAACACATTATGTTGAATCTCTAAAGCAAGCTTTTTTAACAACTGCGCCACCCGAGTGGCACTTTAAGTTTGTGATTTTGATTTGATTCAAATGTAATTAAAAATCAGACATAGTTTAACGAGCTACTACAAGAAAATCAAAACAGTTGTAATCACGAGGAACGATCTTTCTCACAGATCGATCATTGGGATTAGTATACCATTGTGTCCATCCATACCCATGTATTCATTATTTCTAACTGTTTTAATTATATAATAAAATCAAATTATTCATTTTATAAAGTATTACTGCAATGCAAACTACATTCACATTTTTCAAGTTCAGATTTGGTTGTACACATGACCAGTTGAATGCTGATAAATTCATGAAATGGGGATGCAAAATTAATGTCATTTGAAATTGTGAGATCGAATACCAACAAACTTTAATGCTATTATTTTTTTCCCTTTACCAACGTAAAAAAATGAGTTGCATACATGTATCTGGTCTGACAAAAATTTTCCAGTCTAACAGATCATTTTACTTGTCAGAGCAAATAAATGTCTGACAGTGATATTTTCCGCAGTATTTTTAAGCGGTTAGCTTCGCTAAACGCTTTTTGGCATGTGTCCGATTTTTATCAAAACCGGAAACTTCCATAAGGCGCTACCTATCGACAACGGAAACTTCAACAAAGCCTCTACCTAGTACCTATGATTTGTTTCAAACACACATAGCATATGTTAAATAAAATCAAGACTATCAAAACAACATAATCTTTCGGTTTTTTATTTTTTTTCTGATTTTGTTTGTCAATGAAATAAATCTATAATTGTTGTATTAAAAAAAGTTTATGTATAGGAGCATTTGGTGTCGAGATTAAATTTCCGTGACATCAGCTGATGGCGATCGCGCCCTGTGACGAAATTCTAAGTCAGCATGAAGTTTAGCAGATAACATTATCAACGTGTTAGAATTAAACTTTAGGAAGAAATGCATAGCGAGAAATATCATTTGAACCCAATGCTACACGAAAACCAGTAGGCATTTCCGATTTATGTGTTAAATTTAAGCCTGAATCAAACAGGTGGTCAAAATGGCGTTGGACACCTTGTGTATTTATATATAGAGGGAGTAGAATGTTTCGATATTTGGCTAATTTAGAGACTTACTGAAAAAAATTCAGGTGCCTGTGATTAATTATAAGGCACCCCACATGAACAATAAATATTTGAGTGAATTATGCCACTGGGCACAGGGAGGACGTGTTAATTACTGCAGGCTAAAGGGGTTTAAGGTTATTACTGACTGCAAAACATCGGAGAATCTCTCGATCGAGTTTCATTTTCCAAAATATTAAGGCATCCCTTTAATTAACTTAGGTAAGACTAGTACACGAAGAAAGCCTTTATATAAAAATACTGAATACATCTGTAAGTTGTACAGTTTATATTACTTCCATAATGAAACGTTTGTTTTCTTCTCCTTTTTTATCAATTGAAATTATTCAAAAGATGATAAAAGCTTTGTTTTCAGGGAAAAATTGATTTTCAAAAAGTGGGAATAGGTAGAATGAACCCACCTGCTGACCCGCAGTGAGCCTACGAAACTGAAGCTCTCTGAAATTACCGTAATTAATTCTCTGCTCGTCCATCCGTTTTTCTCAGACTAGCCAGCTAAAGATCTATGTACAGTACTCCAAATCAATTAATCTAAAGAATTGGAAGTATCATGTTATTTTCTTTTTCAGTTGTTTGCTACAGAGCCTTTACAGTTACCCAATTTCAGTATGAATAGAGCATGAAAGCCAATAAAATTTGCAACATCAACATAATTTTTTTTTTCGTTCTGAGCACTTTTGGACGCCACTAATGGAGACAATTAGGGAGAAATTTTTGAAATTGAACTTTGTCTTTCAGACTGAAAATCGCAGGTTGATATTTTGAAACATACATGTGTGACATCAGTCTGGGAAATTATTGGTTATACCATTTAGTTAAGTACTACAAAATTCATTGTGTCTGCTTCTTCGCTGATGACACTGGAAAAAGATATGCATGCCTACTTCAATGCATTGTTTGTTATTGTACACTGTACAAATTCGATGAAAGCATGCTAACCGCTTTTCATTACTTTCAGTACTTTGATTTTTTTGTTCTGTCTCTTTATTGATGATACAAATTGAAAGAAGTTGGATTAAACCTTAGCGTTCCTTTGACCTTACATTTTGTTTATTTCTCTCTATTTAGACAATCGCGTTATTGTCAAACCAGTTAGACCAGTTGTTGCTCCATGGCTGACCTCGCACTTTTTGTAATAGAGCGTAGTGGAGTCAGCCGAGGATTTCCGAATGATAAATGAAGGAAAGCTGGGACTTTTTTTCATACTGAAATCAAAATTTGCGTGTCATTTCTCAAGAGAGATGACAAAAATATGCTATTCAAATTAAGTTAAATAAAATTCTATTTCATTTACTTTTAAATCATTTATGAAAATAAGATCTAATTAGAAAAATGAGATCGACTATTTTTATTGCGGAAGTTTTTTTTGAGTTTATATAGACTGGTTCGAGTTTGTATTGAATATCACAGGGGAGTAAATTGACCGACACAGAAACACCACGACGGCCCCTATATAATTCATTGAACAATAACTGCGCTAGAAACCGCGTGACGGCCTAGGGAGTCTGCACATAGTTCAACTCCTAAAAAGATGATCAAAATTATTATACATGTATATCATTTTGTTGTTGTTGAAAGTTTATTCCTAGTTTTATGACTTATGTCGTATTGAATCAATTGTAAGTTATTCTCTTTTTGGGAGGAAAATTAAATTAATTGAGTTTGCTATTTGAAACCACTGTTAAGATCTTTAAGTAAAAGATTATATTTTGAAAAATTCTTGAAATTTGCTGTAGTGCATACATGCATATTGTATGAAAAATATTAATTAACAAAAAATATAATAGTTTCAAACTAGGTTATTGGCATTTTTTGTTTCTTTGCCGTAACAAACTATTCGGATTTTACATTGTTTAAAAGAAAAAAAATGGACACAATTTTTTACTCAAAGAATCGAGGCAATTTATTTTTTTTTTTCCTGGATAAATAATGAAAATTAAGCATTTGCTTTATTTCCTGAAGTCATGATCTAACATATGTCATCATGGTTTATAGAAATATTCAGTGTCTTAAAGGCTGTAGATATCCGAATGATTTATGGTATGAATTAATTATATATTTCTCCGTCATACTTTGATAGCAGTCATTATATACATAATTACCAATTACAGTCCCTACAATCTTAGGTAACCTTAAATTTATTAAGACTTGTACTTTCACATTCTTGTTTAGATACAAAGAAATGCTTAAAACATTTTATTAGTAGATTTTTCGCAATTACTTTTATTTTCTGTTTACTTTTTTGTTTATTCTTTTATCCAATACTATTTCAAAAGGAACACTTTGTTATGGAATAAGGGATTCTTGTTCTTATACTAAGAGATGTGTTATATACTGTAAAATTATAACTTTTTTAGGGTAAAATTTTCTGGGTTCGAGAAAAAATTTTATAATTTTTTCATTGTTAAAGGAGATACATTATGTAGTGCATTGTACATAATTGTTCTTAATCATAACAAAAATCTTTTAACAGACCATTATTTTTCATTATGTCAAAAATATTTTAAGAAGCATAATTTTTATCATTAAAGAAAGAAAACCAATAAGTACCTTGAGGAGGGAAGAGAATCTCTAGTTGAGGTTGTTGGAATCGGAACTGTCCTCTTCTCATGTCTGTTTCATTGGCTTTCAGAGTCTTCTCTAACTCCTCTTTAGGGAGGAATTTATCGAAGCAGATTCTTACTGCATCAGTTCCAACTTGCAATAACTTTACTATCTTGGCTAAATTATCTATATAAATAAAGCCCAAGTATGTTAATTAATGACACTATAGTAAATATGAATACCATGTATGATTATAGTAAATGAAAGAAAAAAGAAATCATTTCAATCTTTCTCCAACATGTCGAATAAAAAAAATAAATAAAAGGGAATTTACTTAATCTTTTATGACGAGAAAAAGCATTTACCTTTCTCTCATAAAAACTTCTGATCAATAATCAGTAAACGATTGTTCTTAAAGCTTACTTTTGTATGTAATTGTTTGAGGTTGATTTTGTTTTATACATGCATTTCAATTTGTATACAGGATACACACGAAATAAAAGAAGGGTGTGGGTCTAACAAGTGATTTAGTTTTAATGGATTTATCTATAGGTCACTTCAATGCAGTGCGAACTATTAAAAAGTTTCCTGTTTACAAATAAATGGTAAGTCTGTCATTTTTAATGAGTATTTACATACATACATTCGTGCATGACAAAAACATATTCATTGATTGGAAATATTAATATGTACATCAAAACTAGTCGTTAATATTGTATAACCTGTGCTATATTAAATCGAGGATAACGTGAAAAAGAATTTAATCTCAGATTTAGTTGAGGTACCTTTTGGATGTGATTCACTTGGTCCAACACTCTCTAACGGTGAACTATTAGGTATACCTTTAACTTCCGAGGGCTCAACTTCATCATGATATACCTTTAACATGAAAATAATGACATTAAAACTGTTGTGCTCATTATGAATGATCATATAAGATTTAATAATGCTACAAACAAAATTTCCTGAATGCAAAACAGTGAAACGATATGAAACAAACACTTGATAAACTCTCACATTATATAATTATGTATTTCTTGCAATACAAATGACTGTTTACGTGAAAACAATAAGTTATTAATTAAAATGCCCAACTGTTGGATTATTGCTCAAGATTTTCAGCTATTGTATTGACAAAAATACATATACTTGATGGCAAATCGGACAATTTTTAGTAACCGGTTACTCGCTCAATCTTCCGATCGAGTACCCGGTTATTCGGATGATTTTTTCATTTTCATATATCATTTATCTCATCCTTTGCTCATCGGCATAATAAAACACAGATGTATTGTGAATGATCTTTACTTAAAAACTTCATTAAAGATACACGCGCATGCAAAAGAAAGAATTTTGATATATATGTAATTATAGTTTAAAAAAAATTAAATCAGAAGAAGAAAAATAGATAATTTTTGACCGCCGATATACGTAATGATCAAGGAGAATAATTGCTTAGAATTTTGAAGTCACAGCTGTACACGATGACTCCAATTCAAAATTACATTCCACAGGAATCGAATCAGCAGTTCTTTATAAATACTTCCAAGCTTTATATGTCTTTGGTGGCACCTTGTTAAATTTTTTAATAAGGTCATCATAATTCAGGTCTTCAAAACTTGTATAACCTGCTGACGATCAAAGCTATCAATTAACTGTTAAAAACAATCGAAACAAATCGTTCATATCAGTGAATCACTAGATCATTAATTCTAACGGTAAATAAAAGTAGAGAAATATTTACGTTTAGTCTCATAAAAAAAATATATTTTTAAAATTATTTACGAAATAAGATGCATTTTATCCGAGTAACCGAATAGCAGTTTTTAACTAACCGATACTCGCATCATTCGACGGTTAACCGGTTAACCGGGTACTTGTTGCCAACACTAATACTTACAAATCTATTAAATGCTAAAGAAATGAACACACTTTAAGAAAAATATCTAAAACGCTTACTAGTATTTAATCCAAAATGAACCAAACGTACATTGTTTTCTCTGCCCTCCCTACTCAATGTAGAAATTATGATTTGAACAAGTATAAATCTAAATTGCATAATTATTTTATATATTTCTCTAAAAAGCTCTTTATAAACCAATGTGGATTATTTTTCTAATATCATCCAATTTCTTTATTTTAGTAAAGAAGAAGGTATGGTTTCCATACAAATTTTGCCCTGTGGTTTTCTAAAAAATGAAACTGGTGTAAAAGTTGAAAACTCATGCTTTTTAAATAATTAAAATTCAATGCAGAAAAATCAAACAAGTCATTTTTCACACATGTGTTTTTAAATGCTAATTATGATGTCATAAACATGTGCATTTTCCCGTATTTTCTTGAAAAGTTGCAGAAGACACCAATTTTCAATGGAATTTTCTTTCAGATGACATTGTCCACAGGCATCGCCCACAAAGATCTTGAGATATATGATTTGTTATTGAATTTTGCACAAAATATCAGAAAATTAACATGGGAGACGGCTGTGGACACTGTCTTCTACAGGAAAATTACTCTTGAAATGTGCCATTTTTAAGCTTTTTCTGTTGAAAATAGAGAAATGCTTCACATTTATGACGTCATATTTGCAGAATGGTTAACCTTCATGCCATATTCTTTCCTGATTTATCAGAGTCATTTATTTAACTAATATTCAAGCCAGTTTCAAAACTTTTTGATGTCATTACATTTTTAGGGCGCAATAAAGCTAAAACCATGCATACCTTCTTCTTATTTAAGGGACTCCGATCCTAAGCCAGGAAGGACAACTCTTTAATTTATAAATTAATTCAAAAAGTCTCAAAATGAAGCTTAAAAATTTAAACTTTTCATGCAACAATTTTCATTATATACCTCCTGAGGTGCTTCAAGGCTCTTTAAATTTCTCAGAAAGGTCTAATAAAAAGTCGAAAATTTTACCCTGTATAAGTATTTTAAAATTACATATATCAAGAAATTGATGTTCATTTCAATCTAACCATAGATACCAATGTTTTAAAATATAATATGAAATTAGAAGTGATTGATGGTGCTCCACAATGACAGGATAATCTTTATAAACTTTGAATTTTAAAATGATCGAAGTAAATAAGAGAAATTAAAGTACATTATATGTATGAAAATTGTGGAATTTCTTCAAAAGCCTGGATACCTATGATTTATATTTTTAAAATGTGTTAAATGATCAAATTTGAATTGGAAAATGCATAGCAGGTGTTTTAATTCGCAATTCCAGAAATTATATTCAAGATTTATTAATTTTCTCTATATAATATGATTAACTTGAAAGATGAATTTTAAAGAGTTATTGTGGGTAAAAACACGTTACTTTGAAAATTCAGAGACATTTTTGTGAGCATTTTCAATTAGTCAATGCTTGATTTTCAGAACCTGAGGATCGGAGTACCTTAAACAACTTGTATTTACTATCAATGAAGATCTTTCTCTTTTATTCTTTTTTTTTGTAAAAAAAATTCCTCTTTATTGAAAATTAAAATTGCAGTACTAATTTTTTTGTCCATTATTTGAAACACTAATTCTACAATCGATTTGAATGCTGCACTTTCTAAAAAGTTTATGATGTTTAATTGAATTGACTGAAGTCTCTGAAATACAGATATTACCCATGTAGCCAACTGAAGAACATATATTTACAAGAGTCAAGCTATGATCCAATATCATAAATTTCTACAGTAACTAGATTTTCCAGTTTTTCTTTTTTATGATTTAGAACAACTATTACAATAAAATACATGTACCTGTACCCAATATTTCGTGATATTCTTTGAGTTGATTATGTGCTTTCTCCCTATTGGACAGGAAGGACACTGAAAAATTGCCTTTGTAAATTCTGATTCGTTGATCACAGAACTTTCTTGGCTATCACAGAATCCCGAAGCTTTGCATTTAAACCCAAACGTAAATCGAAAGTCAGTTTGGAAAGTTCTGGAAAGAACATTAAGCATACGGTCAATTTCTGCCTTAATTTCCTGGCATTTTGACATCTCAACTCTCCCTTCAATAACAAACACCTGTAACTGAATTTCCCTGGGAGTCATTCCAAGCAATATGTTTTGACCCTTAAACAAGAAAACAGCTGCTGTCTGGTATATACATAGTCTCCCTCTCTCTGTAACAATTTCCCAGGGAATTTGCAAGCATGTAGCTACAAGTCGATGAAAAATGCCAACAGGAAGAACATCAAACACGTAGCAGAAAATGGATGAGGTAGGGCATGAAGAAAAGAGATTGTCAGGACATGGCATTTTGTTCATACAGGGAACATACCATTTTTTGTCATCCAATTTTGCTAATAATCCTAGCTTCTCCATGTATAGCATGACATTTGTTTTGTGTTCACTGAAAGCTATTCCCTTCATTTCCCAGATAGCTGTAAGCAAAGTGTCATTTAATTCTCCAGTTTGATCAAATTTTTTCCAGTCTGATGCAAACCTACATAAATCCTTTTCTGCATGATTTCTATCTGTTATTACATTTTTAAATGAATTAGCAAACCACTGCACATCAAGAATGATTACAACATCAAGTCGTTCTTGGTTGAAGTATAAAATTTCTCTGATGTCATGGAAAAACTGCAGCATAATATTAATGTCATTAACCGTTTCGAGCTTTATACCTGTTGGCAAGGCATCATTGAAAGCCAGCAGCATTTCTTTTTTCATTATCCTCTGGGATTTCTTTTCCTGGAAGAATTTTTCAAACATGACCCATGAGAGTGGAAGTTTTTCTCCCCAGTGATTTAGATTTTGCACAACTTTAACGATAGAGAGCTTAATATTCTCAATGCTTTCATTGTCATGGAATCCAACTGCAAACTGTCTATCCTCATGGAGATGTCTGTGCAAGGTCTTGTCCTTCATTTCAAGAGTAGCCCATATTTCATGGAAAAAAGACATAATCTCCTGAAAATACACTTTAATAATAAATACTCAGTAATTCTTTTTATCATGTATCTGAATACTGTATACAGGGAAATTTTCGCCCCGGTTTTATTTTTCTCCAATTTTGCTCTCTCCTTGAATGGGCAAATTTTAGACGGATGGAATTGAAATTACATGGCATTTAAAACGAATTTATTTTTTGAAGATTCATGAGGTTATGAAATACGACGCTTCACGCCAGCATATTTCATGAAGCGCGTAAGCGCTTTAGTATAAATATGCCATAAATTTAAGGCGTTCAACTGTCATTTATAAAACAAATTATTGAGCATTATTTGTTTTACTTTTCAACGTCAAGAGTGGTATTATGACGTTATAATGACGATATTCATGCTTATTTGTGAGACATATCTAATTTAGTTCATGAGAAAATATACTGTATTTTATTTTGTAAAGAATCATAGGGGAATTTTTTTTGGAAATGTTAATATAATTTCTTAAAAAAAGAACTATGATTGGGCGAATTTAAAATGTAGAAAACTGTTTGCAAATGCAAAAAGGCGAAAATAACACGGGGCGAAAATAACCTTGTATACCGTATTAAGAAATTACAATAACTAATGATAATAATATAGTGAAAAATCTCTATTCGGACAACTTTGCAATCCTTCACACTGTAAATTTTGACATATATTTTATACTGTGCTATCCAACACACTGTCAGATCACACATGTTTCCGAGTATGTTTTGGAATAAATAATTTTTTTTTGATTTATAAAAACACGCATAAGTCATTAAAAAAAACACAAAACAAAAAAAAAAATACAAATTTATATTACTTTAACTATTTTTTTTCTTTAATTATACAATGAATATTGTTCTAAGTTGATCTACTTAAGTACTTAACAGGTTGGAACTAATCGCTCAAATGTGATATATAATATTCCAAATGGGCAATAAATTTACAGTGCAAAAAATGAAAAATTCCAATCCACATTATAACACTTAAAACGGAATAATTTTTGGTTGAAAAGTTTTTTCTGCAACCCTATAGTTATAAGATTGGTCCCCAAGAATGTATGGAACTTCTGAGGTATCAATCTTCTTAACAATAAACTTGTTATTCCGTTTTAAGTCTTCTGAAGCGAATTAATGATATTTATTGCCAAAATAAAAATATTATTTTTTGCACTGTTTATTGCCTTTTTGGGATATTATATGCCAAACGGACAATTATATCCCATTTGGATGATCTGTTCCAACCTGATTAACAAAACCCACACATCAAGCCAAAATTCATGTAATATTTTATTTTGATCTATAAATTTTATAATTTTCTTGACCATTTATAGGACCAGTTTAATAAAAGGTTTATAAGATCTTGATACCAAGAACCTGACCTTTCCATTTAATGTTTGGAATGATTGGGGAAGATTTAACATAAAAAGAAGTACACAGAGGGATTCTATATTAATGTATGTAAATAGATTACCCGTGACAGTTGTCAAGGATTACCCTTAATTTATTTAGCAGTTTACTTTAAAATATTGGGGAAAAAATGTAATCTTGGGGTCTGAAAATTTCATACGTGAAGAATATGGCTTTAAATAATTTGACCTCCTACGGACATTTCAAAGTCGTGTCATTTATCTTGATTTGGAGATACCAGGAATATTTTATAAATAATCTATTTATACTTTATATTATAAATATTGATCATTAAATCCAAGAAAATGGATTAATATTTATGTTTTAGGCATTAACTGGAATTTCAAGAAAACCAGATACTACATGTACTACAAAGTGGTCTGTAGTCTGGACTGAGATTGGTGAGGAATTCAACCAATTGTATTAAACTTTACTCATCTTACATCAGATTAGCCTTGGTAGTATATTTTGATAAAATTCTTTCTTTGGCAAGATCAAATCAGACTTACACTGTTGGAATTGCTTTTGAAATAGATTTTACAGGAAATCATATTTTTAGTAGCCATGACATTTTCATTCATCAAAATAGAGATCAGAACTGTAGGAGGAGGGGCTTTTTTTAAAAGAATAATAGAATAATTTTGAATAATCATACCAACAAAATAGTTCTTCGAAATCAAAAACCATTATATAAAAATAGTGTATCTAAATCTACATCCGTGCCAAGTTATATTGAAATCAGACCAAAACTGTGGGAGGACTAGTTTTCTTATACATTCGAACAGAGATTCGACAAACACCGTACTAACACACAAGGTCACTTGGTCTCTGACTAGTAGCACGAGAAATATCTGTAAAATGAAGAAACAAATACCTTTTCCGTTTTTTTCTCACTATGTGTACCAATGAGCAGAACAGGGGCCTTATCATTGCTGTATTGGTGAATGGATTTCAACCAGAATTCAAGATAATCTGTGAATGAAATAAAGACAAACAATTTGCTTATCACTATGTGTACACATAATAAATGCATCAGTCTTATGATATCATAGAAATTGATTGATTGTATGTTGCGTTATATTTCATTTGGGAAATTTTCACTCATAAAAGCACCAGATGGTTATGACTAAATGACACCCCTTTCCCTACAGCCAATATAAATGTACTAAAATCTATTCATGCCATAAAATAATCTAAAATGATCTATTTTATAGATAATTAAATGTTACGATTAAAAAAACATCCTGCTCTAAATATTGGATACATGAAATATATTTTTTACTTTAATTAAGCTATGTGGAATAATGTTTAAATGATTTCACTACATATATCAAAGTTTACTTTAAGTCAAACATCCAGAAAAATTTGTGAAGAAAAGGAAGAGGAGAGGCTAGGGAGAGGGCTTATTACTCCCCCCCCCCTTCCCAAACATACACTTTACTGACAAAGACAAACAATATAAAGGCATTGAAAAGTGGAGGTTACCTTCTTTGTTAGTTGACCCCCCTCCCCCCACACACAATTAAATATCCCCTTTATTATGCTTCCGATGCCAATGTTTGAATTAAGCTTAAGAGTATTTTAAGTTTTATTTCAACAACATTTTTAACAATGGAAACATTTTGAAAAAAAAAAACAATGGTTCCAGACATATAGACAAACAAACATGGAGATAGAGACATTTTCCTCACACAAGCCCATGCAATTATCTTTAACCGTTAGATATCAATTCACTCAATAAAGAGACGACTATATATTAAACAGCAGTTAATAATTATGAAAGAGTCCTTCACTATCTTGATTTAAATCTGTATATGAAATAAGTAGAGTTTTAAATCACATACTGCATTGCATATGCTATAGAAACTATGCAACCGAACCCAACATAAGGTAATGGTAACAAACCTCTGTGTGTCCATCTTTCATAAATGGAGCCTTCCTGACAGCACACCTCTTCCCCGACTTGATCATCAAACTTCTTCTCCATATTCAGCACTAGAATGAAGAACGCCCGAGGACTCAGAAAAATCTGGTGTGAGGCATAATATGAACACTGTCCTGCAAAGTCAGTCATTGTAATTTTCTTATCTGGGTATTCTGGAATGTTTTTTGCATTAATCTGCAAATTTCCTGAAATTCCTGGATTATTTGGGCCAACAATATCTTTGTTTTCCTTCGTAGCTTCTGCTAAATTTGAAGTTGATATGGCACCTTGTTGTGGAGAGAATGAGGTAGTTTTAATGTTGGTATCATCTCGTGATATCTGTCCACTGTTTGATGCATGAATGACATGACTCTCATCATCAGGTGTTTCCATCGTTTCCTGCGTTTCCTCATCATCAGCTACATTTTCCGAATGGTAATCAGGAACACTCTGGTGCAGATAATTTTTATCAAATTTAAGTTTAAAGCGTTGTTGTTGTTTTGAAGAATTTGCTGTAAATAAAAATGAGCACATTTTAAAGGCCTTCTTACTTCTTTGTCCCTGTAAATAGACCTCTAGTCTACTTTAAATAAATCTGAAACTAAAAATATAATATAGATGAATTATAAGCACTTAACTCAAATAATATCGTCCGCAGATATCAAATGAGTATGATCCATTTTTATTTAAGAAATAAGCTATCATTTTTAGAGTTTCATTGGGGTATTACATGAGGTCGTCATGTGATCAAACTCTATAAATCCCGAAGGGCGTTATAGTAGATTGGATTATGTACCGACTTCATGTCATAACCCAATAAAACTCTAAAAGTGATATTTTGTTTCTTATATTGATATTTTTACGCTTTTATTCATGTTACAAAGAAACTAAGATGACATACAGACCAACCAGCAGCAGCAAAGTAGTACCCCCTCCCTTCTTCGAGAGTGGGCATACAAATATCTGTCTCCTCTTGAATGAAAGTGGGGCCCGTTGTTTAACAAACTAAATCAAATTTGGTTGAAATTGATTCAGTGGTTCTGGAGAAGAAGATAAAATTGTGAAAAGTTTAATACAACGACATTGACAACAACATGGACAAATTTTAATCAGATAAGCTCATTTGAGCCTCCGGCTCAGGTGAGCTAAAAGTTTACATATACTACACAATGGCTGTAACATTAGCTCTTTGGGCTATTGGCTTGGAAGAACTTAATACGGTCTATTTGTTTAAATAGTATTTAGATTTTTTTTAATTGTACTCTGTAAATTAATATGACTCTAGTGAAATGATCCATGATCCACTTTGTTTCAATTTAAATTCCATCATACAATAGCAATTTATAACAAACATTGAACCCAGTCAATAAAGAATACCTTGGATGTTATCTGTTACATCAAAGACATCTGTGTGGATATCGACTCCCCGGGTTGAACTGATATTTTTCTTTATTTTCTCCAAGTCAATGCCCTTCAGTCTCTCTAACAATGTTGTTTTACCACTACCAGCACACCCTACTATCATCCCAGAGGCATGGTACATGGTTGTCTTCCCTTTCTTTAAATTCTCAATGAAGTTTGTCACTGATTTGTCTCCCCTTAAGATAATCTGCATCGGTATTCCAACTATAATGACAAAATGCTAGCAAAACAGAGCTTAGATGTAGATCTGTAGTGTTATGGTTTTATATATTTTTCTTTGATCAGAATGCTACAGATCCCCTAATGCAAAATAGGTGCAATTTACGGCGCAATATCTTTTGTGCATTTTAGGGGAGAATTTCTACATTTTCCAGCATCATTAAATTAACTACCTTTCACTCCCTAGTTCTGTGCATATTATTTAACTAATCTGTATATATTATCTATCTACCTACCCTATTGCCTGTAGATACAATTATTAATCGCTGGGAGGTGGATAAAATATGTATATTGGCTACAGAATGTGTCTAGAAATAGGAAATGAAAGTAGTTGATTGACCAATGCTAGAAAGTGGATAAATTCTCTCCAAAAGTATGCAAAAATATTGCCCCGTAAATTGCACCTTTTTGCATTACACATGTAGGGTATCTGTATGGTCAAAGACAAATATATAAAACCATAAAGCTAAACAGAGCTGTTACTAAATCAAACAATCATAACAATAGATTTCCAATTTACGAGACCTTAAATTCTGTATACAAATATGACACATAGAATTTTCAGTGATTTATTTATCCCCAATTAGTTTGTAAATTAAAAGGAGAAAAGGCAGTTAAGCAAATTTTCTTAATAAAATTAGAATGTCTTTCCGTTATGAATCGTTATTATATATATATTTGTTTTAAAAATTTGTTTGTCTAGCAATAATCATTAGCCAACACATGCAATACATGCAACATTATCGCATATCTAAATTTGATCTATATAACACAAACTGAATTGCCTACATATTTGATGAATCTGTAATTGTGACAAAAATTGCATTCTGACCAAGATTAAATCGTGAATCAAAAGTAGTATATTTACACTTTATGTTTAAAAAATGGCATAAATTTTCCAAATTCTTAAATGTATCCCTTTTCAAATTCCCCAAGAGAGATTTCATCTAAGTTTAATTTAATTCAGTAAAAGGATTCTAAAAAAGATCATATGAGTACAGTCTACAGATGACAAGACGACTCTGGCAATTCCACAAAGAGAAGCTCAGCTGGTTGAATGGCTCAGGTGAGCTGAGTGTCTATCGTGTTAAACTTAAAACATTAAAGGGATTAAAAAGAAAAATAAAGATTTAAAAGCTAAGGTATAGATGGAATCATGGATAAATACATATAATTCATCACTCCAAAACTTCTTTTGTTATATTATATCAGAGTAACCAGTTCAGGTGAGCTGAAAATAGCTTACATTTCTTAAATACTGCTTCATGGAATGACCGGTCCTCCATTGTTGGGTGCGTGAAAATATCTTCTCCAAGTCTTTCTAAAAACTCCTCATTTTTTTCTGGCAGTAACCAACAGCAAACTTCATCCTCTCCTCTTCGATAATTCCACGATCTACAGTATTTAGCTATGTTTTCTTTTTCTGCCCAAGTAAAGAAAATATCAGTAAAGTTCAGCCCAAAACGATTTGAAAAGTTCAGGAAACTTAAATGTCTGAAGACCTCAATTGAAAAGCCGATCTCTGATTCATTGTGTTTCAGAAATGGTTTGTATTCTTCTAGATCTGTAGGAGCAAATGGCTTTGTGATTTCCTTTGAATGAAAGCTTTTGGCAACAGCATTACATTTGGTCATCCAGTTTCCATCTTTCATGTTTATTTTGTAAGAATTGGAAAGAAGAAGGCACATCAAAAGTGTATCTCCATCTGCAAAATAAAGAAAAAATATATACATAAAACAAACTTGGAAAAAATCATTGAATTTATTTACATACAAAAGAATTTTATACAAAGTGGATGAAGTTTTTAAAAATTTATTTCAGCATTAAATACACATAGTGCATTGCCCATTCTGTGGTATATCTTAAATAATATATGTGAAGGTCAACACAAAATCATTGTAGTACTACCCAGTATAAGCTTTCAGTGTTTCCCTATAATAAAGTTTTGGTCTTGGCATAATTGTACCGACTGATAAATGAACAGCTGCACAGACAAACAAACATGAGGCCCATGGGACACATCGCTCACCTGAGTAGATTTGACCATGCTGTTCTTTACCAGATTCCTCCCTTTTGATACGTATTGTGAGTCTACCCTAACACATTGGTCATAATTTGGACAATTTAAAATCTACACTATTCAAGGATGATTCCACATAAGTGTAAGCTTTTATGGCCCAGTGGTTCTTGAGAAGAAGATTTTTAAAGTTTTTTTTCCTATACATTTCTATGTAAAACTTTGATTCCCTATTATGGCCCCGCCCTACACACGGGGGTCACGATTTGAACAACTTACAATCTACACTACCCTAACTTGCTTCCATAGTTTCAGTTTTTCTGGCACAGTGGTTCTTGAGAATTTGATTTTTTTAATGACC